AAAAAAAAAACGGTTCACCTTAGATGACATAACAAAGCTCTGGTCTAATATGGATGTTGTCTTATGGACATTAGTCCTTTATGGTCTAACATGGATGTTGTCTTATAGACATGCCAAAGTTTGTATTAGATTTGCATATCAGCATCTATTTTTTATAGACATGTATTTTGAAACTTTGGCTCCATAGAATTTTTGTGCAAACTATAGCTGACAATGTAGAATTTGAAACTTATTATCCATACATTTATATTTTATTGGAGCTAATATCTCTTGCATTAGGACGCCCTTATAATGTTTTTGCAATTAAAGTAACATAATCATATAAATATTAGGTTGACAAATAAAACATCATTTCACTAATTAAGTGTGACAAGGATGTTGTTGGGAAAAATACGCTGAAATTTTCATGAAGTCGGATCTATAAAAGTGAAATAAAAAATAAAAATTGGACACACCAATTTGATAACGGAGTTCGGCCAATAATGCCTACGTCTTCGGACTACTGCAGATATTTTATTAGGAGAAAATAAAACACTCGTGTTTACATAACACTCTCGAAACTCACTCACAACTCACAACTCAAAAATACACACAAAAGCTAAAAAAAAATTTTAGCTCACCCTCTTTTTCTTTCTTCTTGTGTTGTTGTATTTTTGTTGTTGTGATTTTTCATCAGAATTTGCTCCTCTATTTATAGAGGAAGTGCACGCAATTTTTCAACCTAAGGTAGCTTCCTTTTTCAACACTCAGCTGCTGTTTTTTTTTTTTTTTTTTCTTCAAAGGCTGCTTCCCTTTTTTTTTCTTGTTTTGTGTGCTGTCAAAAGAAGGGGGGAGTAGCCCCTTTTTGACTCAACAATCTCCCACTTGAGGACTGATTTCAATCTGTCCTCACACATCAATTTCTGCAGTAGTCTTCTTTGGTCTGTTATTCTAGCAAGCCAACTGAAGTTGAGCACAACTTCAGTTTGTCAATGGTCACCACCTTCGTTAGCATATCTGTTGGGTTCTTGCTTCCTACAATCTTTTTCAATGTCAACACTTCATCCTCAAGCAGAGATCTGATGAAATGATAACGTATGTCAATGTGCTTAGTCCTGGAGTGAAACACTGAGTTCTTTGCCAGATGTATTGCACTCTGACTGTCACTGTGCAAGACACGCTCCTTTTGAGTGAAACCCAACTCTGCTAACAATCCTTGAAGCCATATCAATTATTTACTGGCTTCTGTCACTGCTACATACTCAGCTTCTGTAGTGGATAGAGCAACAATCTTTTGTATCCGCGACATCCAACTAACAGCTGTAGTCCCGACAGTGAAAACATAACCGGTGGTGCTTCTTCGGTGATCAACTTCACCTCCAAAGTCTGCATCTACGTAGCCCTGTAACTTTATATCTCCCTTTCTAAAGTACAGACATTTTTCTGTTGTGCCTCGTAGATATCTCAAAATCCATTTGACTGCTTCCCAGTGAGCTTTTCCTGGTTTTGACATAAACCTGCTCACAACTCCCACTGCATGGCCAATGTCTGGCCTCGTACAGACCATCGCGTACATCAAACTTCCAATGGCTGAAGCATAAGGAATCTTAGCCATGAACTCTTCTTCTTCTTTTGTTTGAGGAGACTGATCCTTGGATAAACGAAAATGGCTGGCCAAAGGTGTACTGACTGGTTTGGCCTTGTCCATGTTAAATCTCTGCAAAACACGGTTGATGTACTCTGCCTGAGATAACTGCAAAACTCTCTTTTGCTTATCTCTCGTGATTTGCATTCCAAGAATCTTCTTCGCTGGGCCTAAGTCCTTCATGTCAAATTCTTTTGACAACTGCATCTTTAAATTTCTGATGTCTATCATATTTGATCCTGCTACTAACATGTCATCGACATAAAGTAGCAATATGATATAGCTGGACTCATATTTTTTGAAGAAACAACAGTGATCAGCATTGCACTTCTGGAAACCTTCCTTGTGCATGAAGCTCTCAAACTTCCTATACCACTGTCTTGGAGCTTGTTTCAGGCCGTACAAGCTCTTCTTTAATCTGCACACCATATCTTTCTTTCCGTCTGAAAAACCTTCAGGCTGGTGCATATAGATCTCCTCATCTAGGTCTCCGTGAAGGAATGCAGTCTTCACGTCTAATTGCTCTAGGTAGAGCTCTTCACTAGCCACAATACTTAACACAGTCCTGATAGTGTTGAGCTTTACAACTGGAGCAAAGAATTCAGTATAGTCAACTCCTTCTTTCTGCTGAAATCCTTTGACAACCAGTCGGGCTTTGTATCTCCTGGAACCATCATGGTCTTCTTTCACCCGATACACCCATTTGTTGCGAAGTGCTTTCTTTCCCATGGGTAACTTGACTAGTTCCCATGTCTGATTTGAGATCAAGGACTTTATCTCGTCCTTCATGGCAAGCTCCCACTTGCTAGCATCCGGGGTTTGACAAGCCTCCGTATAATCTTCAGGTTCTCCTCCATCAGTCAACAACATGTAGTCCATGTATCTCCTGTTAGGCACATGGGGCCGAGAGGACCTTCTCAATACAGGAGTTGGAGTAGAAGGTTCTGATTGCTCACCGCTTTCTTCATTTGATTCCTCTGACCGGGAATTCCTTATTATAAGAATGTCTGGGATATCTTCGACCTCTGCATAAACTGGCCCACTCGCTTCTGAGTTGCTGGCACTTGTGTTATGCCGGTCCTTGTACATCACTCTTTCATTAAAGATGACATCTCTGCTGCGGATCATCTTTTTGCTTTCATCATTCCATAAGCGGTAGCCAAACTCATCTTCACCATAACCAAGGAAAGTACATTTCTTAGATTTTGGATCAAGTTTGTTTCTACCTTGATCACTGATGTGCACGTATGCTACACACCCAAAAACTCTAAGATGTGAGAGTTTTACTTCTTTTCCGCTCCATACCTCTTCTGGTAACTTGTGATCCAATGGTACCGATGGACTTCGGTTGATCAAGTAAGTTGTTGTGTTGACTGCTTCTTCCCAGAACTACTTTGGTAGGCCTGACTGCACACGCAAGCTTCTGGCTCTTTCAGTCAATGTTCGATTCATACGCTCAGCTACACCATTGTGTTGAGACGTACCAGGCACGGTTCTCTCCATTCTGATTCCGTGCTCATAGCAAAACTTCTTGAATCTGGTTGTCACGTATTCACCACCATTGTCGGATCTGAGCTTCTTGATCTTCAAGCCTTTCTCATTCTCCACCATAGCTTTCCAAATCTTGAAAGCTTCAAATACTTCTGACTTGTGTTTCAGAAAGTAAACCCATACCTTTCTGGAGTGATCATCGATAAAAGTCACGAAGTATTGCTTCCCACCAACGGATGGGACAGTCGTTGGACCCCAAACATCAGAGTGGACGAGCTCAAGCTTCTCCTTCTTTGGGGTTCTTCTACTTGTCTGAAAGCTGACTCTCTTCTGCTTTCCAAGTATACAGCTTTCACACATGTCAATTTCTATTGACTGGAGGCCTGGTAATTTTCCTTTTGAGTGAATGATCTTCATCCCTTTTTCACTCATATGCCCAAGTCTTTAGTGTCATAGATTGAGACTTCCATTTGTTGCGACTGCAATAAGATGACATGCTCCTGTAGTCTTGTAAAGAGTACCACTCTTTTTTCCTCGAGCAATTGTCATCGCACCCTTTGAAATCTTCCAATCATCACCATGGAAGATTGTCGTGTAGCCTTCACTGGCTAGCTGGCCCACGGAGATTAAATTCTTCGTTAGGTCGGGAATATGTCTGACATTTTTCAATTCCCAAACAGACCCGTT